CCTTCCAATGGGGATGAAATTAAAATGGAAGGGTCGCGCATGGTATGGGCACATATCCCTAAAGTTTCAGCCTTCTGGCTTTTCTGGGTCTCGAGTTGAAAGTGGGTGACAAAAAGTGCGAACACAGACAGATACACACATACGCAAGCACACACACACACACACACACACAGCCTCTTCCCAATATGCGTTTTTGCAATTTACATATATGCAAAAAAACGCATACTAAGATTAGATTATCGGGTAGTCCGGAGCGCCAAATGCACAGATATCTAATCGACGAACCTGTATGGGATGACATCATTGATATGCCTTGAAAGATAAAAGTCGCCGACACGTGGCTGCCCGAATGTAATAAGCTTTACTTGACTGCTTTGACGCAACTTTTCGTCCACAGCACGAAGTGCCGCTAGCGATGCCATTGCCCCTCCTAAATATGCTTCCCTTTATGGAACTACAGAAAAAGTGACTTCTGATCGCACATCTCATAAAGGCTAAATTCCAGTGCAGAAGAGAGAACATGGCTTGGTCACTCTTGCATGCACTGACATATGCATTTGCGGGCCATAACTACCCACCAATGTATGTCCACTTTCATTTTTAGGCATTTTTGCACATATGCAAATTGCAAAAACGCGTATTGACAAGAGACTGTTTGTGTTTCTATTTGTTTGTGTGTTGGCACTTTTTGTCACCCACCTACAACTCGAGAATCAGAAAAGCTAGAAGGCTGAAACTTTGAGAGTATGTGCCCATACCATGCATGACCCTCCCGTTTTAATATCATCATGCGCCTACGCTTGGGTGCCGCGTATGGAAGTCTCAAAAAAATATACAAATTTTTTGGCGGGAAGGCTATCTCGAAAACCAGTCAAGATAAGGAATCGAAACTTTGCAGGGATATTCCCTATGCATGATGAGCTAAAGATTTCAAATTCAGCCTTCAGATGTGCGCGGTTCTCACGTACTAGTACATGAAATATTTGACAGAAAAATTGCTAACTCGGTGACCAGAGAAGCTGGTAGGGCTAAAATTTCAAGAGGATGTTCCCTGACCATCTGCAATTTAAAGATTTCAAATTCAGCTTCCCAAGCACCTGGGGTACCCGTGTACGGGCATATGAAAGTTTTGGCAGGAAAATTACTAAATCAGGAACCAGAAAAGCTAGAAAGCTGATATTTTAGGGGAGTTTTCCTTATCCAAATACAACTTAAATATTCCAAATTCAGCCTTGAGGCATGCATGGTTTTTAAGAATAGGCACTTAAAAGTTGCTCACTGAACAGCTAGGTTACTTTTAAAGGACGACCGTTAAAAGGAATTATTTATTTAATTTATAAAAATTTTGAGTGATTTACGCTGAGTGCAAAAGGTTGGTGTAAAGCAACAACAATTCATGCAGTTAAGGACCTGAGTAATTCAAGTCCGGTGCAAAAACCCATGATCGCACCTGCAAGCCTGTTGCGTTTCTACTTGGGTTGATTATCCGTTGCCGTCAGAGCCTTGAGGTACTAAAGAACAGCCAAAATAGCAACGAGATCAGTCAAGACTTAGTGCCAGGCATTAAAGTGCAGCAATAACGGGAAGTACTTGTACTCTACATGAGATCTTAGAAAAAGTCTCTGTGAAATAAACACATTATAACAGGCCAAATATGTACTTATCAAATTAACATTATGCAGCTGGCGATTTTTACCTTTGCCTTGACCAATGTCGCATCACCTAGTGGTTAGCCTGCTGACGATCCCACGCTTGTTTTGCCTCCTTAACTTTGGTTAAAAAAGCTACGAAATTAAGTTGATTCAGAAAAACAAATACATGCATGCGTTTTGAAGGGTGGATCTGTGAAGGAAAGGGATTTTCTGTTTTTACCATCAACGAACACGAATTGAGAAAGAAGAAAATGCAAAATTTAGCCGGAGAGACGTAGGATTTAGGGTAAGGATGGCAGAAGAGTGCAGTGGTAAATGGGAGAGTGTGCACATTTTTCAATAATATACATGCTAAAACTATCAAAAACTTTTCATTTTTAAAAGAAAAAAGCTATAAGCTGTGGACTACAAAAGGTAGAAGGTGCTATTATCAGCAAGGAATGAATTTGGCGACTAATTCCCTTCGTCTTATGCAGTTGCCCTTCAGTTCCTTGTGATACCACAAATGCCCCGTCTCATGATTCGAGTCACCCCTCCGTAATATAACCGAGGTTGGGACGCCGCACCAGGTTTGCCAGTGCGATCATGCGGTTTTGCACCACACTTGAAGTAATCAAGTCGTTAACTACATGAGTAGTTGCTGCTTTATACCTACCTTGTGCGCTCACTACAGTAAATCATCGTCAATTTTGCACAAATAAGATTAAACAGTTTCCGTCTGGCTGTCGTTGCTAGAGCGGTCGTTTGTCAAAAAATCCAAATATGTAAATAAACTGAGTGTTTGGAGAGGATGAGGGCAGTCATTCGCTGCAAAATGCACTCGTTTCTGAGTAGGTGGTAAAGTTGAGTATTCCTCATTTCCACCTGCAGGGAATTTCATTTTTAAGCAGAATTAAGATCGCATTTGAAAGTAGAATATCTCTGCGAAGGTCCAGCCTTGCACATTATCCGGTAAACGAAATAGCCACCTCGCTACAGATATCTTTGAAGTGCCCTAAGTCGTGGCGTAAATGCAAATCGGAACTTATTTTAGGTATACGATTTTTCATACGGACGATAATTATTCTGACAAACCTTCAGCCACTGTTTTCCAGCTAGTTTTCGAGTTAGCGTAGTTCCAGCTGCAAAATTTGATGTGACCGTACGCGATGCACAAGCGTGTGCGACGGCTGAATTTGAAATCTTTAGCTCACACAAGCAAATAGAATATTATTGCAAAGCTTCAGCTTTCCATCTTGCCTGGTTCCAAAAATCGTTTCCTGCCAAAGAAACTTGCATATTTTTTTCGGCGGTCCGTAAGCGAGATGTAGACGCGTATGGGAGATCTCAAAATGGAAAGATGACACATTGGGTGGGATTATGTCCCCACAATTTCAGCCTTCTAGCTTTCCTGGTTGCTGAGTTGGAAGTGAGTGATAAAGTTAACTCGCTTCTGAACACACACACAGACGACCTCTCAACAATATATGTTTTTGCTCGCTGTAGCAGGGCTATTGCGCGATAACGCACGAAAATGATGTGATTAGAAATGAAAAGCGTTTCAACTGTTTTTGTTGCTGGTAACATGGTGCAGCTGCCGATTCTCCAGTTTTGTCGGTTTGCTTTTTTTTTTTTTTAAAGCATCGTTTGAGTGAGCTATCATCAGACCCACGACCCATTCAATTCAGGGCCGCTCCCCCCCTCCCTTCCCCGCGCGCTGCGAGTGGTTTAGTTAGGAGAAGAAAAAGATGTCAGTACTGATATAAGATGTGAGGAGGATAAAGGACCAAGCACATGCAATGATGGCAGGGTCGAAGGATTGAAATGCAAAAAATAGCGAATGACACCATTTTCGGCAAGAAGAGCCAAAACAGAAACATGACTTTCTTTGAAAGCTAAATGTATATCTGCAAAGATATTTGTCAGCAATGACTGTTTTTTAAAAATCAATAGATTTTCTAATCTATCATTGGTTGGCATTCTGGTTTTATCACTAACAATCAATCCTCACACTGAATGCCCGGCCGGTCGAGGTATTTTTAGTGCTGTTGATATTTCATAATTTATAGACTGTGGATATATCTACCGAAAACAGCACACTGAACCCAAAAATGTGGGTGGCCTGAAACGAAACAATGCGAACGCTTTTGTTCAGAAATGATATTGTTGTATGAAAGAACTTACCAGTAGTATAAAGTTCGAAGTTTTGGCACGGAAAAATGCAGAATTTTAAAAGATCTTGAAAAATGCCCTTTTTTAAGCTAGAACTTATAAACCGCTTACCTAAAGAATGTCCTGTAAATGTCACATTATAGGTCTTGAATTGTTTGCTTTGCAGGATTGGTACAACCTCTGGCCAGATACTGTCTAGCGCTGAATAGAAGTATCGGTTTGCCTAAAACATTTTTGTAAATAAATCCGAACACATTCTGGCTTTTACATTAAGTTTTTAACGACAACCCGGCAAAGAAACTACTTGCCAACCGACCATTATTTGTAATGACTACAATGATGCAGTTAAGGAAAAAATTGGCTGGTTGCTGTTTTGTCCCAGCGTGTGTAGAGTAAGCCCAGGCTTAACTTAAGTATACGTAGCCCTACAGTGATTTTAAATATCCTTGCAAAAATGCACCTTTGCAACGACATTAGTGCTAAATTTTAGCTTCTATCTTGTGTAATTTCAGAAATAGTTTTAAAGTCAAAACTTTTTCAATTTTTCTTTCAAGCGCCCGTGCTTGAAACCTAAGTGCCCCTGAACGCTGATTTTACTGTACGGTGGTCAAACATGAGGTGGGAACATGCTCGCGAAATTTCAGCTTCTTACTTTGCTTGTTGCCGAGTTGCAAGGGGGTGTTAAAAAGCATCACACACATGCACACATACAATCTATTGAAAAAATGCGATATTGTTTATTGTTGTAGCGGTGCAGCCTTTCACAGCACAAACGCGAAAAAGCTTAGCAAGCATATTTTAAAGTGCTGTACTTCTATCAGTGTTTGGATCATCTGCAAATTCTATTTGCAGTATCAAAATTGTGGTGAAGCAGCTGCTTTTCAATGAGCTCATCATTTTTTTTTTTCAAAGTGGCCTGCTTCGTCAAGAACGTTCCGTCCGGAGTGGATTTTCTAATTTCATTCTTACTCTTTATTAACAGCTTCATAACTACAAACTGCACCCAATCAACAAACTCCTATACGTTTATTTATCACATTTTGGTCTGAACGATGCATTTCTGTCGGTGCGTGCTTCTCCCTACACAACTTTATGCGCAAAGGGAAATTGAGAGGGCTTAGCTAAAAATGCATACCATCCCAAATTTGTGATACTGTAAGCCTGGTCTGACCGACTGTAGCATCTCCAGCAATAATTGTGAATTAGTGGTGGTACCACGGAACACAATAATCAACTGTTTCATGACATCAGAAAAAGCCGTATACGAAGCACAGTAATTTTTTACCGCATCACACAGTGAATTCACCGAACTGAACAGTGTCCAATTCTGCCAGCTCGGATATGCCCTTTAACATCATTGCAAAATATAACATAGAAAATCAACAATTCTTACAAGTGTAAGTTTAAGTAAAAAAAAAAAAAACTGCACTTTGCAAAATCGGCCCCTGAAACAATTGCTGGATCGACGAGATAGTCCAACTAATCGAGTTTTTAAAAGCCCACATTTGACGTAGGCGTTGAAATTTCCACTGGTCATTGAATGCCGCCAGTAAAGAAATACGCTACGCGCACGCGCATCATTGCTGTAGTTTTCCATGCCACAAATATCATTCATGGATAAGTGTTTTCTATTTCTATCAAGCAAGGTAAGAATTTTTCTCCTTGTTCACGGCACAGCATTTGCTGATCTTCTGAATCATTCTTCTAACGACTGCATCCATCTCCTATTATAAGTCAC